CCTGGCATGAGTTTAAGCCACTGGATCCGGGACTCGAACCATAGTCGACTACATGGGAGTCCAACGACATAGCCATTACAGTAATTGCTGGTCCCTTTTTTAACTTCCTCAGCAAAGTAGGGATCATTCAAATCAACATCAGAAGGAAGTCCAACTTCACTGGCTTCTTCACCCAGAGCCTCCTGTTTTATGTTTTTTTTTTTTTTAACTTTTTTTTTTTCGCCTCCTGTTTTATGTTTTTTTTTTTTCAATCTTTTTTCTATTTCTTCTTCTCTAAACATTGTTCCCAAGGGGTCAGTTTATCCTTTTCTTCCAATTTATTTTTAACTATCTCTTCTGAACTTTCTTTAAGACCTGGAACCCACTTAATTTCCATTTTCATATCATTTTCTTTGCTTTTTTTTTTCCTTTTTCTTGAATAACCTGCAAGAGTTGCCCATATTTGCAATTTGATCTTCATCATCCTTCTGACTTTTGTTTTCCCATCTTCTACACTGACTCCATCATCATCTTGTAGCTCTTCTATCTCCTCTTCACATTCACTAGAGGAAGCAAGGTAGGCTTGAAAATCCATGTCCAAAAACCTCTTCTTTTTTAAACTTCCTGTTGAGCGTTGTAATTCTTTCATGATTAATCTCATCCCAAGTGATCTCCACTGTTGATGTTCCCATTGCAACAGCTGTAAAATAAATTGGTTTATGTGCTGTTAAATCTACTTTTGAGGCTACATCTTCGGGCTCACCATCAAAAGTAATTATCATCTGATATAAATCTGAGCTTTACAAAAGCACAGCTACTTTCAAATTTCAGGCCATCATAACCTTCATAAATGTTACTGGCTGTCTCAGGAGAACCACAGTCCACTACGGCATAATAGTACTCAAGTCATTTGAACTGATAATCTCTCAGTTTTTCTCTAGAGGTTCAGTCCTTTTCAGAGGCATCTTCAGGAATACTTAATAGCTTTATTGGTCCTTGAATTTGCTCTTCCTTCATTCTCTTCTTTCCAAACCCCGAAGGATATATATTTACAGAAAATACAACATCTCCTTTAGGTTTAAATGAATTGAACAGAGCCAGCAAATCCTTTGCCTTTAATCTATCCCAGTCCATGTTGCAAACCGCTAATTGATAAGTAATCGCATCAGCCTGAGGAGCATCTTTATCTAACTCTCTCCAAGCGTGCTCAAAACCAGATTCTTCCGGCAGTAAGTCTGTCATATCGTCTTCATTTTCAGAACTGGTTTCCACATTTCCTTTACCCCTTGCAAGGTCAGGACCACTGTCACTTTCACCTTCCTCCTCAATATCCTCACTATCTTCATCACCTTCCTCCTCCTCTTCATCATCTTCACCTGCACCAGCAGCAGCAGCAGATGGGCTACCGACACTGGTAATTTCATCTTCAGATTCCTCATTGCTTCCCTATTTCACTAGTACTTTCTGAATCTTTCTCCACATCGTCATCATACATTTTACCATCTGTTGGGTTTTTATGATCACTGCCTCTTGCCATCATGGGTGAAACCACTGACTGTATTTCTTTTCTGGTCTTTGAACATTTGATCTTGGGAGATATAATGGATTCAGAGGGGCTGGAATCTACTGTCCGCTGAACAACTTCTTTTCCCCTCCTTTGTACTATGCTGTGTAAATTCTTCACTAGCCTTCTTGGGAATTATTTTTGAATCTATCTTCTTAGATTTACATGAGTTTTTCATTTTCTGAATTCTTTCAGATTTATCTAAATCATTTTTATTTCCTGAATTCTTTTGATTAATTTTCTTGGTTTGTTTCTTCTTTTCCTCAGTCAAATGTTTGGAATCTATTTATTTTCTACTCTGTTTTTTTAATTTTTCTTTAATTTCTTTGGTTCAGTGCTTTGCTATCTTCATCAGAGAAATCAGAATCAGAATCTGAGAGGTCATAAAAGAATTCCAAGTTCTCTGTCATGCTGTGGTTGATTGGGCACCCTCTTTTATGCACAGCATAGTTAACTTAAATGTTTTTTTTATAGAACATGGCTCAAAATCTCTTGTCGATTTTGACTTTATCTTTTTTTTTTTAGCATTTCACAAAATCTTGGGTCTCTTGCAACCCGACTAAACCACTGGCCACTCATTATTTCTTGTTTGGACGACATTTTTAAATGTTTCAGTGAATAAAATGCTGGAAGAAATCAAATATATCTCTGGATTCGCTCAGAAGCTCACATGTGACAAACCCCCACAATGCTCCGTGTCCAATTCATTCAACTCCTGAAGTGCTAGTTCTGTGACAAGTTGGGCATTGTCATAGAGAAGAATTGGGTACTTCTGTTGACCAATGCCAGCTACAGGTATTGCAGATTTCAGTGCACTTCATCAATTTGCTGAGCATAATTCTCAGACGTAATGGTTTCACCAAGATTTAGAAAGCTGTATAGGATCAGACCCACTGAACAGTGACCTTACCCTTTTTTTGGTGCAAGTTTGGCTTTGAGAAGTGCACTGAAGCTTCTTTTCTGGCCTAACCACTGAACCATTGCCAGTTGTCATAAAACATCCACTTATCATAACACATCACAATCCAATCAAGAAATGATTCATTGTTGTTGCATAAAAGATTGTGCTTCAAATTTATATTTTTAAAATTTATTTATTTATTTATTACTTTTTAGGTGGCTCAGGAGGCACCCACTTACTGAGTTTTTTCACCTTTCTAATTTGCTTCAAAAGCTAAATAACCATAAAATGGTCAATGCTGAGTTCTTCAACAACTTTTCTTAAAGGTTTTTTCCACAGGGCAGGTGCACTCACTAGAGAGAAACAAAGTCAGTGAGAGGGAAAGTGAGAAATCATCTCTCAGAGGAGATAACCACTCCACAATCCCTTCTCCATTCTTCTCTCAGGACTTTGGGTATGCATGCACACACATCCAGGGTGATTTTCAAGCTGTCAGGTATGGAACTCAAATCACAGTTGGTCATGTGAGAGTCCAGAACTTTGAGCACCACGCCACCTACTAGAGCCCTTCAGCAACTTCTCGTGTACTACTAAGAGCATCAGCTTTGATGATTGCTCTCAATTGGTCATTGTCACCTTCCAGTGGCTAGACCTATCTCCTTATCATCAAGGCTCTCATTTCCCTTGCAAAACTTCTTGAACCACCACTGTACTGTACCTTCCTTATCAATTCCTAGGCCAATGTGTTGTTATATGTTGCAAGTTGTCTACACTGCTTTATGATCCATTTGAACTCAAATAAGAAAATTGCTTTTTGTCTAGCATCATCTCCATAGTCTAAACACAGATGAAATAAACAGCAAGTATGAAGGCATTAAGCAAAAAAAAAAAAAAAAGAGAAAAGAAAAGAAAAAGAAAAAAGACATAAAGTGAGAAATGCACATTAAAAACATGTATAACATAACCATATTTATTTACGAATGTATCCACTATGAAAAGGCAAATTTAAACAATTCAAAACCATAATTATTTTTTGCACCAACCTAATAACTACTAATTTCTGTTTATTCTAATATATATGAGTATCTACCTAGAACACAAATATTATCTTATCGAAATCTGGATCGAATTAGAATCAGCACCTGCTATGCAATAAGGAAGAAGAAATGTCAGACTGGAGGGCTGTGATTTTAGCAGCTCTTCCTTTGCAGAAATGGCAGCATGGGGGACCAGCAGTTAGCGGACTCCCATGTAGTCGATCGTGGTTCGAGTCCTGGAGCTGGTGGCTTAAACTCACACCAGGCACGTGTGCGTGCATGCCCAAGATCCCGAGAGGAGAGTGGAGGAGAAGGGATTGCGGTGCTGTCATCCCCCCGGGGGGTGATTTCTTGCTTTCTGTCTCTCTCTCATTCTCCGTCTTTCTGGTGAGCGCACATGCACTATAGCAAAATTAAAAAAAAAAAAAATTTAATAAAAATTCTCAAAGAAAAAAATAAAAAAGAAATGGCAGCATGGAAAAGGTGTGTGACTCTTCCCCTTGGCTCAAAAGATAGAGATTTATACGTGGAATTACTGAGGTGCAACTTTGTGAGTTAAGGAAATAAAATCATCTCTGGAGGGCTATAGACTGCTTGACAAGAAGACCCCTCTCTTCCATTCTCCTCACCTTCCCCTCTCTACTCCTGCTACCACTTCAGAAGTTTTCACTGAACAGTCATGATACAGAAACAAAACAACAATAACTAATCTCACCAGGTCAGGCATTACATTATTATTCTTTTTTTTTTTTTTTTTTTTAGAGGGTTTTTTTTTGGGGGGGCTCAGCAGAGAAAGAGACAGAGAGACAGAAAACGAGAAATCACCCCCCAGGGAGGATGGCTACGCCGCCTTCCCTTCTCCTCTCGGGATCTCGGGCACGCACACACATGCGCCCGGTGTGAGTTTAAGCCACTGGGTCCAGGTCTTGAACTGTGGTTGGTTGCACTATTTAGCCTAGATTTCTTTCTTTTTTTTTTTTTTTGGAGAGGTTTTCGCTACAGGGCGTGTGTGCTCGCCAGACAGACAGAAAGAGATATAGAGACAGAAAGCGAGAAATCACCTCCCAGAGGGGATGGTCACGCCGCAATCCCTTCTCCTCCATTCTTCTCTCGGTATCTTGGGCACGCGCGCACACGCGCCCGGCGTGAGTTTTAAGTCACAGGGTACGGGACGCGAATTGCGGTTGACTACGTGGGAATCCAGCGACACAGCCATTACACTAACTGCTGGTTCACTAGCCTAGATTTCTGACAAGTCCCTAATGGGCATCAGATGGCCGTGACTGCACAAAATTGGCTATTGCCAGAGCTCAACTCAAGTCTTTTTTATAATCAAAGATTATATGAGCATTCAAGAAGAATGTACACTAATAATCTAGACCTTTTCTAGGCAATATTGACAGATATTTGGGCCCCTACTAGGGCTCAGATCCATTTAGCATCATCCATAGTAGTCAACACTCAAGGGTCTCTAAATAAATTCCATTTCTATCTTTTTTCAGTGTTCTGGAAACTGCATTACCCAACAGAACCAATACTGTTGAGAATAACAAATTAAATGAAACTTGATTCTAGAAAGAAAGTATTTTATACTACTTTATTTTTAAAGAATAATTCTAGTTCTCCTATGAAAAATGCTCCAGCTAAATAAACACAATCCTACTGGTACACAGAGAAAGGCAATCCGCAAAAGAGCCTAACCCCAAACACTGTATTTGCCCATTTCTCCTGTCTGGTCAATGCTCTTCATATTCAAATCCTACCTGTCTTTTGACAATCAGATTAAGTCCCAATCTTTCCCAAACCTTTCCCACCCTCCTACTGTGAATTAATAATTCATACCAGTTTCAGTTATGGACTAATTTGTTCTCCCTTTTCTTATCACTTTATATAATAATAACATTGGAATTTGATTGCTGTGTTTTTTACATTTTGTTTTCTCAGCTGCATTATAAATTTGATGTTATGGATCACTTAATACAATTCTTTTGTATTTTCCAACTATATTTGGCATAGTCTCTTGCAGAAAGTAAGCACTAATTGTTACATTAGATTATTTGCTCAACATAATATTTTAACTAATTTTTTATTGATATGTACATGTGTAGGTTGAGTAAGAGAGATATGCAATACTTTGCTTAAGAAAAATTATTTTCTAATTAAAAAACTTCTGACAGCTGCCTATTGTCTAAATATGTGAAACAGGATCTAAACTTACAATACTATTAGTGGTTAATGAATATATATGGACAGATACAACACTATTTCTTCTCTATTACTTGTAAATTAGATATTCTGCCTCAGCCTAATTAAGCTACAATGTACACTAAGACAATTTTCACAATTGTAATTGCTGGTTTATACACAAGGTGTCTTCTATAATCTTGTGGTATTTTCCAACCCACTACTGGATAAAAAAATTACTGAATACTTCTAGGAACTACCCCCTCTGTGGAGTTATAAAGGCCATCAAAAAGCCTACTGTTTACAAGATAAAAGCTACATATAGCTATATATTTGCACATAAGTTGTAAAATTGGCTATTGCAGAGCTATTTGCACAAATACCAGTTTTTTTGTCTATCCATTTTCTTAATACCAAGTAGTAATATACGTCACCTTTAAGTTAACTCAAACAATCCTTATTTACCAATCAAACATCTGTCATTGGAAATAAATAGAAACGTAATATAAGATATGTCTCAAGTTTGATAACTTTATCATCTTGTCAGGAAGATTAAACATATGTAATATAATCAGTAGCTATAGATACTTTACAATACAATGTAATCAGACAAATTATTATGGCAATTGAGAAAAATCGAAATGAATTGACTAGAGAAACTGTCACAAGCATTGTTCATAAATACCGTACCTGGATTAGGACTCATTTTATGAGCATGGATCAGAGCAATCAGAGAACAAAGTGATACTTCTTGTTTATTTTTAATAGCCTCAAGTTCTCGAAGAGCTTCTTGAGTTTTACCTGAAAATCAGGACAGTGATATGAAAATCTGTTCTCAGGGCAAAGCAGGGATGTATAATGTATGGAATAAGTTTACTAATTAGTACATACCTTCCATTAATACGGCATAGGCATGATAAAACCTGAAGACTGGGTCGCTGCCATATCTTCTAATTCCTTCACTGGCAACAAGTAGCACATGATGGAAATATCTCTCTTGACAATAGTAATTAATCAAAGTCTAAAAGGAAATAATGATGAAACTTGAAAAATGGTTTTAGTGTTCTGAAATACTCCAAGCAGCAGATAATCTAAAATCTGGAACATCAAAATTTAGACAATACGGTTGTTTTCTCCCAAGTTTCTAAAAATGTTGTTAAAGTCTAGTACTCAATACCAAGGATTGCATAACAGAAGGAACACAAAAATCATTGTTCAATATTTTCTAATCATTTCAATCTTTTTTTTTCCAATTGTTTGCTAATAGTACTGAAATCAGGCTACTTTCATTTCTTTCTTTTCCTTTACCCAGTTTTCTTGAAGGCTTTACCCAGTTTTCTTGAAGCCTTTAGAAAATAGAAAAACAGACTAAAAACATTTATTAAAACAAAAAAAGAAAAGAAAGAAAACAAGCTTCCACTGACAGATCATAGGTTACTTTCAAAAATCTTTTTTTAAAATAATCTATTGTTATTAGAGCATTACATAGTAGTGAAAAATTAAACTCAGCAATCTTTTAGATTGGTTTAAATCAACATATTATTATTATTAATTTGCTATATTATATATAAGAATAATTTTATATATTATTATTATTTTTAATTAGCTATGCACTCACCAGAGAGAGACAGAGACATGGGGAAAGCAAGAAAGTTAGCTGCCAGGTCCAGGACTTGAACCACAGTTGGCCACATGGGAGTCTAGCACCTCAACCACCAGTCCACGTGCTAACCCCTATACTCAACAATGTGTTGTCAAAAGTTAAATGTTTTATGTGTGAGTTCTACAGCAAATAGTGATTAGTAAAAATAGATGATCTAAACTATTTTTCTACAGAAAAAAAAAAAAAGGCTTTAAGCTTTTTTTCTAAGTCACATTATTTCTACTTACAAGATAGAAAACCTCTACCAGGAGATATTAAGTTCTGATTAGATGAGTCTGTGCCATATACGATTTTTCTCAGGATCATATCTAAGGCCTGGTTGTTCGGCTAATCCAGGAGAGAAACTACACTTCACCATCACTGGGATATACCTATTCACCTCCATAAACAACTTCGGGCCGTGCCATACCTACTTACCTGCGCTGACTGTACAGCTGGCTGGTCAGAAGCAAGAAACACTAATAAGACACTGATTGAAGGACTGGAATATAAGGGTGTCTGGACAGCTGTGTTTTCTGTTCTAGTGTTTCTGGAGAGTTACAGTCCATGTGCTTCTCTAGGTCAGTTAGGCAAAAGTTCTCCGTAACTTTCACTCTGCTTCCCTCTGTGGTTCTGCTCTCTGCTCCATAACCACATTCCTTGAAAATGTGACCCATACCTTACTTCCAAGACCCAAATAGCATACCTCAATGCAGTGCAGTTTTCCTCCAACATCCCACTTCCTAAGGTTGCACAGGACTTCCTTGTCACCAATAAGAACACTTTTTTATTTTGGAGAGGTTTTTGCTATAAAGGAACATGAGCTCACCAGAAAGACAGAGACAGACAGAGAGACAGAGAGTGAGAAAGCACCAACCAGGGGGGATGGCCATGCTGCAATCCCTTCTCCTCCATTCTCCTCTTGGGATCTTGGGCATGCATGCACAGGCACCTGGTTTGAGTTTAAGCCACCGGGTCTGGGACTTGAACCATGGTCAACTACATGGGAGTCCAGCAACATAACCATTATGCCAACTGCTGGTCCCAATAAGAACACTTTCAATGTCATCTTACTTGACTTCTGTCCAGCATTTAGTTTCACTTCATACCTATAGTCCTCCCCAAAATTAGTGGCATGTAAAATAAAAAGGACTTAGGTCAAAAGGCAAAAAGACTTGGTTTAGTTTTGTTTGTTTCTTTCTTTTTTAAGTGCCAGAAGGTTCATGTGCTTGCCAAGAGGGACAGAGAGACAGAAAGTGAGAGAGTACCCTCTAATGGGGCATGGTACAGCTTTAATTCCTTCTCTTCCATTTCTCCATTCTGTCAACATTTGGGGCATTTATACACATGTGTCCGGCATTTATTCATTTATTTATTTATGAGAGATTTTTGTTATAGGGCATGTGCACTAGCCAGAGAGACACACAGAGAGAGAGACAGAGACAGAGACATAGAAAGTGAGAAATCATCCCCCAGAGGATAGCCACGCAGCAATCCCTTCTCTATTATCCTCCCGTGATCCTGGGCACATACACACGTGTCCAGCATGATTTTGAAGCCACTGGGTCTGCGATTCAAACAGAGGTCGGCCATGTGGGAGTACAGTTATGTAACTGATATTCCATCTGCTGGTCCCACCTGGAATGTTTTTCAAGCCAATAGGGATGAGATTTGCATTGCAGTCAGCCATATGGGATCTGGCTCCCTTAACCACTAGCTCTGAGACTGGCACAAAAACAACTGGTTTTAAATCCGTGATCTGTCTCAGTATGCTCACTTGTTAAATGCTGTTAGTAATGCAAATTTGTAGATTGTAAACATTAATTAACATATTGCAGTATAAAAGTTCCATTCTAGGGGGACAGCAGGTGGTGAGGTGGTTAAAGGTTCTGGATTCCCACATGGCCGACCATGGTTCAAGTCCCAGACCTGCCGGTTTGCTTTCTCACTGCCCTCCCCCACCCTGTCTCTCTCTGATCAAACTGGAAAATAATAATAATACATAAAGTTCAAAAAAATCCAGAAAAAAATTCTATTCTGGAAAAATAAATATATACTGTTCCTCTGAACCCCATTTGATGTTGACATCTAAAAAAACAAACAAACAAACAACAACAACAACAAAATCTAGGTATAGCCAAGACCTCTTGTCTAATCTACAGATTCATATTTCCACTTGCCACCTGCTATCAACACCAGAAACTGAGTCATGGAATCTTCCCTTCCCATTTGCCTAGTCCCCGGAAGTCTAACCAGTCAGTAGGTGTCTCTATTTCTCTAGTGCGCACCCCACTAGTCATACTTACTGTCACTACCTTGATTTGGGTTATTCAACAGACATTTACCGACTGCCTGTAAGTGCTGCATGTTGGGCCAGAAACTGTGAATATAGAGATGAGTAAGATATGGCTCCTGCCCTCAAAATAGTTTATTTACATTTGACAACGGAGACTGTAATCTAAACACTGATAGACACTGTAGTAAATGCAAGAAAAGAGCTTATTAATTGTTTTAAGAATGTAATATAGTAACATTGAGGCAGCTTTGTTAACTGAGGGTGCGATAAGGGGAGCATGGAAGATTTCAGAGCTGACTTGAACTGTAAGCCCCTCACTCCTCAACACATACTTACTTTTTCTAGTACTCTTTCATGATTCTTGACAAAAGCATAGGAATGAGCCAGGCAGAAGAGCAAGCCAGGCAGAAAACCCTCAGCCTTATCACAGAGATAAGAAATACGCCATGGCACATGGAGATGGGAGTGGTGATAGAGAGGACTAAAAGCCACTCCATATTCCAGAGCAGGGGTTCACGGGCCTGTGGGTCTTGCTGACTGTTTTTGTATGGCTAGTGAGCAAAAATGATTTTTGCATTCAAATGATTCGAAAAATAAAACGGAGAGGGTATGTGGGAACCAGCAGTTAGCATAATGGCTTTGTCACTGGATTCCCACGTAGTTGACCACGGTTCGCGTCCCGTACCCGGTGGCTTAAAACTCACACTGGGCGCGTGTGCGTGTGTGCCCAAGATCCCAGAAGGAGAATGGAAGAGAAGAGATTGCGGTGTGACCATCCCCCCTGGGGGGTAATTTCTCACTTTCCATCTCTCTGTCTCTGTCTGTCTGGCGAGCGCACGTGCCCTATAGAGAAAAACTTAAAAAAAAAAAAAAAAGAAAAAGAAAAAAATGAGAAGGTATGTTATAACATGCAAAAATTATATGAAAGTCAAGGCCTAAAATGTGCATTATCGGGCCCTTCGTAGAAAAAGTCTGCTATTCCATGAGGTGGAAAGGACTAGACAATGTATTTAGAGGGAAAGGTAGGGTCAAGAAGGACCTGATAGAAAGACTTGAACTAGAGCCTCAGTCTAAGTGATGGGAAGCCGTATTTAGCATTGAGGTGTTTTCATTAATGAGTTCATTTGGGTGACAGGTGTGAAGAATAAATTTAAGGGGATGAAAATCTTTAAGGGTTTGTGGAATAGCTTGACAGAAGGATAATGTGAAAATTCAGGAAAAAAGCGAAAGAGAATCCAACACTCTCTAACATCTGTCACTGCCAAACTGCTCTCCATCCATTTACCTGCTTATTGTCTGATTTCTTCTACTCAAATAAGTTCTAAGACTGAAAACGGTTTTGTTTTATTATTGCAGTATCTTTAGTGCCTACAGTAATGGCAGACATAGGCAATCAATCAGTATTTGTTGACATTATATTACATTAGAGTTGTCTGACATTAGGCAGTAAACTTGGTGAAGGCAGGTACCTGTTCAGTTCTGTGTATGGCTATAGGCAGTTTCTACAGGACATACCTATGCTCTCCATCAACACTTACTGAACAAGTCAACCGGTGGAGAAAGAAAGACTATCATTGAAAAGATAAACTTTTTCAGGCCCTATGTCTTGTTTTTTTAATCATTTCTTGGTGAACCGTGGCTAAATATTTGCCAAAGAGATGAATGAGGAAAACAAAGACTGCCACCATAAAAATACAGACTCCTTCATGTTTAAACCTCATGTTTTTAATTGGGTTCACATCATCTTTCCGTGCTCCGTTTCCTGTCCAGTAGTGGAGCTGACACCAGTTTGCTGTGACTCCTTAAACAACGCACCTGGACGGTGCACTGCCAAATGCTACGCAAGCTTTCCCTGTAAGCATGACACAAAAGTAAAAGTAAACACAAACAGGGTGGGGTCCAGCGCGCGAATGGCACTTCTAAAAGCAGCCTGCCAGAGGGCTGCTCCGATCTTCAGATTCCGAGCAGAGTCCACCGATCGGGTGACGAGGCCCACAGTCCCACAGTCCCAGGCTGGTGGCGCCACAGGAAACTCGGTGCCAAAGGCAGTGCGGGGTGATAACGGCCTCCCCAGGTCCTCGGAGCTCTCTCCAGTCCCCCAAACCATCGCCTCCGCCAAGCAAACCCCACCTGAGCCCTGTCCACCAATCCACCCATCGTCTCACCTTCAGCCCCTCCGAATCCATGGCTCCTGGGAGGCCGGTCCGCCGAGCTCCAGAGCGTGCTCTCGCCGCAGCTCAGCGGAAAAGCCAGGGGCTCAGGCTCCGGCTCAGCGGAGGCCCCAACCCGCTGGCGCTCCCCGACTCGGCGGAAGGAGGGGCGGGCGGAGCGGGGTCGTCATTGGCTGCCAGCGGGAGGGGGCGGGCCCTGTGCAGCAGGGATTGCAGGGGGCGTGGAGCAGGAGCGGACCCAGACCAAGAGGGAGGGCTGCGAGGGCGACCCCGGGAGGGACAAAGTAGGGCGGGCGCGACCAGACGGTGGAAATGAGAATGCAAACAGGGAAATAGCCCTCGGACAAAAGTGAGTGGTCAGGCCCGAGGATATGGAATTAAGTATAAAGGCAATGGGGACGGAAGTAGCAAGAAGGGCGAGTTTACTTTCCGTCACTGGCTACAAAGACAGACACCATTTTTTCACGTTTGTATGGAGGGCGATTACCGCAG